CCCCAAAACCCCAAAACCCCAAAACCCCAAAACCCCTGGAAATTTAAATAAAATTGAAATTTTTATATAACCTTTGGGCCTCTTTGGCAGTCAGTGAAGGGGTTTTGGCGATTTTTACGGATCAGGAAGGGGTCTACTTCTTGGATAGGGCCTTTGGGAGGGTGGTGAGCGGAGGAGGACTGGAAACTGAGGTCTGTAGGGGGGATAGGGCTGTTTTGGAGGGTGAGAGGGGAGGAGAGAGGGGAATTTGGGGGATAGGGGTTGGGATATGGTTTGTTTAGGTACTGGGGATGTTATGTTCATGAAAGTATCATAAAAACAATTAAATATCGATTTTAGAGTATCAAATTATGTCCTTAAAGCAAATAAATGAGTAGTCGTATAAATTTTAGCAGAAAATTGACTTCCATAAACTATTAAAACTAAATAAATCAAAAGAATTGATCAATTCACCCACAATTCTCAAACAAAATCAGTCAATAAAAGCATATAAAATAACCAAAACCCCTACTATCCAGCCAAAGATCTCCTAAAATCCCTACTACTATCTTTAACCCATATTTTCCCTCAAGTTTTGTCACTACATAACTTAAAAACTTACTTCAGTACTTTCCGGATTGCTTGCACTTGCTTTTCCTTACTTCCTTCACATTCTTTCTGCTCATCCAAATAAATCTATACCAAAATCTACCAAATTCTTCACCCCAAAATTCCCACTCCAGCCAGGACTACTTTCAAGGAAGAAAATTTATAGTCTAAATGAAAAATGTGAGTATAATACGGAACTGGGAAAATTGGGATTTTTGAAGGTTTGGGGTTGGTTATGAGATTTTGGAATGGTCGAGGGGGTTAAGTGGGTAAGTGGGGGGTTTTAGGGAGGTTTAGGCTAGTGGTGTGGAAGGTACTTGTCCTGGAGATAGAAGTATAGAGTCTTGCTGGCTTTGGGGGTTATGAATGGGCTTGGGTTCTTTAGACTTCTTTGTTGTATCAATGATGTTCTTAACGTTTTTATTTATAATTGATGCATTGATCTCTCTTCTCTTATTAAGAATTCGATCCATGTATTTCTTCTGATCTCCAGAGATCTTTGAAGGCTTTTTACCCAGAAACTGTCCTGAAGGAGCAATATTGGAATCCATTACGTTCAAAAAGCTGATGTCTCTAAGATGGTCTACCATCTCACTTTGATCTCTGTTGTCTCTGATTTCACTCAGATCGATCTCGGGAGGAATATTTGCACTATCAGTGTTGATATCTTTCTGCAAGAAAGATGGCTCCTGCTCCATCGAAGGAGCCTCTATATTCTCAGGATCATATTTTGGGGACTTCTTCTTCGCAAGTGACTTAATAGAAGGCCTAGAGTGTGAACTATGCATACTTACAGTGAAACTTGAATATTACTGGCAGATTTCAGTACCTTCAAGCCATTTCGATGAGTTCTCTTCCTAGTAGTTCTTGGTTTAGGTTTTCTCTCTGAGATCTTTTTAGACCCAATTTTGATTTCGCCTTTATTCTCGACTGCTTTAGCAACAGTTGCTTCGATATTACCCCTCTGTGGCTGGATGCAATGCAGAAGGGATTTATAGGTGACTGCTTTAGTAGTATCGTTTATATGTTTTTTGCATTTCTTCCTCAAACTTTTCCTATGAGTCTCGCTTTTAGACTCCTCAAATTCATGGAAGTCATGATCAGAGTTGTTCATACTGTTTGAGTACTTCTAGAAGGATCGATGAAGAGCTTACTAGGGATCGACGTTTAGGAAGATCCTTCTTGGTAACATCTCCGTTCATAGTCATCATATCATTTAAATTGTGCTGAACCGTTTGGAATGACTCAGAATTTTTAAAATTTGATATTCTTCTGCAAAAATTTAAACATAAATTACCTTGAAGAAGAACTTTTAGATAATTTGACACTCAGTTTACGCTTTTTCTTGATTTTAGGTTTCCTACATAATGGTGGAAGAGTGGCTACAATAATTGGGGCAGAAACTTACACCTATTTTTAACCTGTGCATCTTCTTTGCTCTCTTCAATTTTCTGAAATTTAGGCTTAGCAATCTGAAAATGAGTTTTCTGAGATTGCAAAAATAAGCTCTCCTCAGTCCCACCCTGCTTCGAAGAAGGACCAGTAGTAATGGTCAGGTGCTTCCTGGGCACAGATTTGGAGTAAGACGTAGAGATTAGGTTCTTAGGGTTATCCTTGGTAAATATCTCATCTTTTTCCTCTTCTACCCTACTTCCTCTTCTTATCTTCAAAGGTTTCTTTATATTTTTGCTTGAACAACATATAAACTCAAAGTAAAATTTTCCTTACCATCTTCCACCTTCTTGCTTGTTTAGACCCCGGCATTGCCTAACGATATAATATTTTTAAATAACCCAATCTAAAATCTCATTAAAGGGGTTTTGGGGTTTTGGGGTTTTGGGGTTTTGGGG